CTGATACCAAGGGCTCAAGTAGAAAGAAAATGTTTGGGAAATGTTGATGACAACATATGTACGAGTGTGGTTAATACAATTGAATGGATTGTGAAAAGATTTGTAAGAGCCCCCCAATAAGTTATTAATAAAAAAAAGGTTGGCAGCATACGTACAAATGTGTTTGATATAATTGATATATGGATTATTATAAGAGCTGTAAGAGCCCTCAATAAAATGACTTACTTTTAAAAAAGCAAGAGTTATATCTCAAAAATGTCAAGCAAAAATAAATAAAACAAGTTCTGCAGAAAGATTATTATAATATCATACTATGTTGAGAATGATGAGGGCAATGAATGTGCTTTGCACAACTGATGTGTGTATGGATTGATAAGAGTTGTATGCACCCCTAATAAAATGATTTTAAAAAATATACTGTGACATATTTTAAAATACAAGGGGGCACTAAAAAAGAAACAGCATATTTTTTTCAAAGCTATGCATTTAAATTTTTTTAAAAACAACCTTATCACCTTCAAAGTCCTCTCTATTACACTTAATACATTTGTCAATTCTGCAATTCCATTCTTAGAAACTTTTTCAAACTCATCTGTTTAGATGGCTGACATCACCTCCCTTGTTTTTTTCTTCACCTCTTCTATATCATCAAATAGCTGTCCTTCATGTCCTTCTTCATTGGCAGAAACAAAAAGAAGTCACACAGAGCGAGGGCAGGGGAGTAAGGTGTGTGGGGCAAGAGAGGCATGCTGTTTGCTTTTTTTTGGCCAAAAACTGGCACACTGAGTTGCTATGTGAGCAGGTGCATTGTCATGGTAGCAAAATCAGTCCCCCGTCTGCCACAAATCAGGCCTTTGTTGTCACATACCGTTATGCCATATTTTCAGAACCTCTACATAGAACGCTTGATTAACAATCTGACCTGGTAGCATGAACTCCAAATGCATTACAAGTCGACATTTGAGTTCAATAATACTTCTCAAAGGTTAGATTTTTTTTCCATCCACTTCCAAATGAACCCCAAAAATATTCCTAATCCATTTACTATCCAGGAAAATGAATGCAGTCATAAACTCAATGTATATTATGGATTTTAAGCATTTGCATTTTAATAAAGATAAAATAACTTCTCAGAATTACTTACAGAATTCATCATAGCAAGCTGTGAGGGGTAAGCTTTACAAGGAAAGTTAATCTTCACCCCACCAATCGTATATTCAGATGACATTGAAGACATCATGCTTTCTAGTTTATTTCAGATGCCTAACTGCAACAAAAATGAAAATCAGTATTAAAACTATGACACTCGAAGAAAATAAGATCTCAACAATAGGACAGAACTCTGGAGATAAAAATTGAAGTTAATAAATGTATAAACTAAATGGAAGCTAAAGAATTTCTATCAGTTTGTCATATTGTGGTAGTTGAGTAATGCTGAAAGGTATGAACCACTAAAATACCAACAGGGCCCCCCATAGCGAACATGTTTCAGTAGAATTTCTAGACTAAGATAGATCCGGAAGAATGGCCTAGCAATCTATTTCTAAAAATTAGTCAAATGAAAAATCTATGGATAACAATAGAACATTGTCCAATATAATGCTGGAAAATAATCCCGTTCAAGTTGAAAAGCACTACACAATAGCCACAATACACTAAAACATACCAACAATCATGAATATGTAGCAAAACTGAGCAACTTTTTGTTCTGTTGTACATAATGCCACCATGAGTCAGAGGCAACTGGACAGCACAAGCAAGTACACAGTGGCTGAGAGCATGCACCTTGTAGTCTGACAGATCTGGATTTGCATCCTCTACTCCACTATACATAACCGGTATGACTTTTGAGAAGTTACGTAACTTCTCTGGGCCTTAGTGTCCTCCTCTGTAAAATAAGGATAGTAATAGTATCTACCTCAGAGGACTA